GGAAATTCACTCATTCATTCGACAGATAGTTAATGGGAATCAGTAAATCAATCTGGCTAAATAGAATGCGCTGCTATACTAGCCTCCCAGGCGTTCCTCACACAGCACATATGTAAGACAGGAGAACAGATCACACTCTCACGGCCTTGACCTATAGTTCAGTGGTGCACACCGATCTCAACACAGTCTACTGCTAGGCACTTATGGAGCCATAACTGTGCCATAACTCAGACCTTCCCTTTGAGATGGCCTGGAAGCTTTTTAACAGGGGCTTTCCTGAAGTTCCTGCCAGGACAGAGCTGGTATCTGTCTTAATCACTACAGTCCCACGTAGTATACTCTGACTGGTTCCTGCTAGGGACAATGATAACGTCTATGTGGGTTGTGTTTACTTTGTCATTCCAGAGGACAGATGCATAATGAGCCAACCTGTAGAAAGCGGGAATGTCAAGAACATGGGGGCCAGTGAAGAACATGCAGAGAGCATCAGCTGTGGGCAGGGAAGCCACTTGAAGGGAAGCAGATGAGATGTAGATATCAACCAACCAGTTGCCATCAATTCCATTCCGATTCATGACAGCCCCACGTGTTCCTGAGCAGAACAGTGCTCTGTAGGGTTTTCATTGGCTGCGAGTTTTTGGAAGAAAATCACTACAACTTTCTTCCAAGGAGCCTCTCAGTGGATTCAAACTACCAGCCATCCAGTTGTAGCTACATCCTTAACTACTTACATTACACAGGGACTACAGGACACGGGGACCACAAGGTAAGACAGTGCCAATGGGGGTAAACAACACAGGAACGCCAAAACAGACGTGGCAGGGCCTGATGGTGGACTGGCAGGTGGTGAGGACAAGCTTGAGGATCCAATGAATAAGAAGACTTGGGAGTTCTATGGGGTCCTGTTACTGGTTTGAAAAATATGAAAATAGTCTATAACATTGGGGCGGGGGGGGAAGCAAGAGCTTCCATGTAACCACCTGCAGTTCTAGCTTCCCCCTAAAGGTCACAAGAATTCACAATACTGGCTCTACCCATCTGCCAGCATTGAGCTACTGCAGCTTCATCCCTTAATATGGCGAGCTGGGCATTATGGGCATTTAGATTTAGAAACCGTCCAATAAAACTCAAGTTTTATATGTGGATGGCCAAGAGAATTGCATCCTTCACCCAAATTAGGCAATTCTCTGTTTGAGAAGATGCTAAACATAGGCTTAGCCACGTTGAGTAGGTAATAAAGGGCAAAAAGGGGCATGCTGTTTGTAGAGAACTTATAAAACAGTAATAAAACTAACTAAACTTGCTCTGCTTTGTATTACTGCCATGCTCCAGCAATTCTCAATAGTAATGATGATACAAAATTTCATCCTATGGAGTGGAGGGGACATGACTAGGTATAAGACTAGGGTCAGCTGCAAAGCAGGCTCACAGTGGATCCTGACATCGAGCAAAAGGAAAGGCACATGTAGAAAGAGTGGAGGTTGCTCAACGGATGCCATGATACACACATGACAATACTGTTTTGCACTCGATCACGCGAGTACCCAGTGGTTATCCCGTGAACGGACAGATGAATAACTGAAAAATTGACTTAAATGTATCCCCAAGTCACAAAGTATTTTTTTTCCTAATGGCATCATAGAAGATCATCCCGTCTGGCTACCGGAAAGCAGTCCACAGAAATGGTCTTACCGCTCTTGATGAACAGGTCGACCAGCTGTTCTTTGGAGAAACCAGCATCAACATCAGCTCTAACTATATCACATGAGAACCCCACAGCCGCCTGTCTGTGCTGCAGTAAGAAAACAGGCCGGTTAGTCCTCCGTCTCTCAGAATTTCAAAGAAAAGGGGTGGGAATACAAGTAATTAATACCTTCATGCAGAGTGCAAGCTGGAGCGCTATGTAGTCTTGCAAGCTTCCTTCTGGACCATGGAAAATGACAGTGTGATATTGCTCGACCTACGGAGAAACAGGGAGAACTTAGGGGGGGAATGCTAATTGAGAAGAGGAGAGGGAAAGTGTGGAGTTTTCTTTTTTTGATTGCCTATAATTTTCCCAAAGATTCAAAATAATCTTTTAGGGATTGGCTTTATTCACTGGGAATCTTGTAGCCTTTCCATGTAAGAAGAAACAATTGCAGAATATGGTATATAGAAAGGGTTGGCGTTTTCTGAAGGAAGCATCCTCTCTCGTGTGCGTTGTCTACAGGAAGACTCAGTATGCTGTCTGGGAAGCAGAGCTGACATCGGATAATAACTTTACGTTGACTTCTTAGGAGGACAACTTGATAGATACACTGTTCTCAGCATCCATTGTAGCTATTGTTCCATTCCGGAATTCAGTGTGTCAAGAGAATCTAGATCGAGGTTAATGACATCTACTTGGTAAAAAGGCAAGTATCCTGCCGCTGTGCCTAGCCTCTTTTTGTTTTTTCTTCAATCTTTATCTTCAGAGCTTGCCTGAGATGATGTGAAAAGTTAGCGTGGACCCCGGTGGAAAGTCAGCCCCATCTAGAGACGACAAAGGCAGTGGAGTCTGGAGCAAGTGTGGGCGGGGCAGAGTGACCAGCCCACTTCCATTATTCCAGGGCCCAATCTCCACTCCCAAGCCACATGCGTGGGAGAAAGCTTCTTCCTGGAAGGGTCTTGTAGCAAAGGAGCCGGTGAGGTAAAGCTGGGGATCTAATCCTTGCTGCTGCTGTTGCTCCTAGGGGAAGAATGGAACTGCCAGGCTCCTCAAAAGTCAAAGGCACTGCCATCCTTCCGGCTCAGGCAGACACAGAGACCCACCTGGACAGGAGCGAACTGCCCCTAAGGGTTCCGAGACCTTAACACTTTGGGGGAGTGGCTGGTGATTGAGGTCTGCCGACTTGCCATTAGCAGCCCTCTGAGTGCACTACGATGCCACCGGGGTCCTCTTCCCAAGGTGAGTGCTCAATGTGGAAAGGCCTGCTCTTCTTCCTTCTAATTGGGAGCAGGACAAAGTCGGCAAAGCAGGACATGCAGGTTTCTCTTTGTGCGACCGCTGATAGACGGGCTCCGATAAGCTTGTTTCTTTGAGATTCTCAAGAAATCATTCCCTCTTGTAAACTGGAGTTAATTCAAGGGTTCACAGGCCTCCTTGTCCACCTGGAATAAACCTTACTTTAAAAAAATCGTTTGAATCATCAGAAAGGTGGTAAGAAATGGCTAAGTAGGTGTTTGCCCACCAGCCTTTGGGTGAGCGTTGAACAAATGGGTGCAACACACTCCTGCCCCTCAAAGTACTGAAAACACTTTCTTCAGATTCTTGTCAAAGAGAGATCTCAGCCCTAATTTTCCTTGCTATTGGAAGGTGAGATAGTTAAGGTTTATTGTACCAACTTGGCCAATAAACACATGTGGGGTTAATTGAAGGGCGGAGAGATGGCTCAGTGAGCCTCACCTTTCTAGCTCAATATCTCTTGCTCTTTGAGGGTCGGACTAGGGTGCAGCTGTCTTAGCCAGTTGCCTGCTTCAGCTGGCAAGGTGCACTTCCTGCGAGACATCCCTGAGAAGAAGCCGCACGAACCAGCCCTGGGTGCTGGAGAAGCCATGTGGAGACCCCTGCCAGCGCTGAGATGTTTACACATTCACTGATTTGGCTTTCCTCCTGCAGTCGGCATCATTGTGTGTGTTTTGTGAGATGGAGGAGGACTTTGTGGGTTGGTGTTGGACATACGGGTTAATATTGGACTTGTGGGCTTGGGCAGCACTGGGTTGGGATGTTGTCTTGATGTGCACTTAACCTTTATATAAAACTCTCTCTTATACATATGAGTGTCTGTAGATTTGTTTCTCTAATGTACTCAGACTAACACAGAAAGCTTAAGAGTACTTTTCGGAAGTACTTTAGTGAGAAATCTGATGTCAGGTCATAAAAAACACAGAAAAACAAACCCAAACCCACTGCCTTCGCCTCAATGTGGACACTAACCAGGCGCCATTTTTAACAGAACTCTTGAGCAAATTAAATTAACTCCAAGTGGCCCTTGCTTTATTGTGGAGAAATTCTCTCCAATGGGATGAATTGCTTCACACCAGTGACAAAGGATAAGAACTTTCAAGATTTACTGACTAGTCTGCCCCTGAGATTTCCAACTAAGAGCGTGATTTAATCTTGTCTCATTTCGGAAAACGAGAGTGCTATATTTATTATAGCTAGCCTGTCAAACTGCCCGCACAATGTTAAGATTGATTTCGAAAATGATATCACAGCAAGAAACCCAACTTCACAGATAAGCTGTCTCCCATTTCAACACCTCGCTTGTTCTCAGATTGTAGGTTCTCAGGAAACAGACAGCAAGCATTTAATTAAGAATTTCACTGAAAAGGCCATTCGCTAGTGGGAAGCCCTGGTGTTTACATAGCCTGATACCTGCTGTGGAACGCGGTACAATATAAATCAACAAATAAATTATGTCAGAGAAGGGATAAACAAATGAGCAGACTTCCAGGTGGTTCCTACATTCTAAAGGACATATTCCACGAATAGGGTTCTCATTTCACATGTCAGGTATTATTTAGTTAATGGTCTTTTGTTCTTTCTCCTCAAACGACAGTTTTGCTAAACTCAGAAAATGAAACTCACGGCCATCGAGTCGATGCTGACCGACAGATAGAGACCCTGTAGGACAGGTGGTAGACCCTGTGAATTTCCAAGACTGTAACTGTTGATGGGATTAGAAAGCCCCGTCTTTCTCCTTTGGAGTGGGGGTGCTCTCAAACTGTGGATCTTGCGGTTAGCAGCCAGACCCCTACCCCTGATGCCACCAAAGCCGAACAACCACAAAAAAATTAACTTAATGACCAGGAGCCTCTTACTCTCTAGAGACTGGTGTGAACACGCAGACTTTTGCCAAGAAATATATTTGTTGATCTGTGTAGTAGGTACACGTTGGGCGGCTAACTACATGCTCAGTTGCTTGAACTTGCCATCACTCTGTGGGGACAAAGATGAGGCTTTCTACTCCCGGAAACCCACGGGGGCAGTTCTGTCCTGTCCTACGGTTGCTGAGTTGAAACCAACTCGATGGCAGGGAGCGTGGTTTTGGATTGAGCATTACTATGTCACATTGTCCCAAAGAGCCAAGCCTTGGGCACAGTGAACCTGTATGTGCCTTGCTCCAGCAGAGGGCTCTACAGAGATGAGCGTGGCCATGGGATGCGTCTCTACCACACGTTAGGAGCTGTCAAGTTGCTTCTGACTCACAGTGACCCTGCAGACAGTAGAATGACATACTGCCTGGTCCTGCACCACCCTCACAATCTTCCCAATGGACAAGCTCGACACCACACATGCACCTCTTCTCAGATTGGAGGTCCTCAGGAATACAGACAGCAGTATAGCTTTTACACTTATAGATCTATTTTACATTACATGTATATTAACAATTTCAACTGTATTGAAAATAGATCTGTGTTCACTGAAAAAGAAAACTAACTTAACTCAGTAAGGGTAGAACCATATTCACCAGAATTGTGTCTAAATCCCATGTACAGTAAGGGTAGAACCATATTCACCAGAATTGTGTCTAAATCCCATGTACGGTAAGGGTAGAACCATATTCACCAGAATTGTGTCTAAATCCCATGTATGGTGTATCACGTCTGTTTTTCCATAAGGGACCCTGTTCTCATAATCACAATTGGTACCGGACCCTTTTATCCTTGCGTTTTCACAGCCCATCCAAGAAATTCTTACTACCTCTCAACTAGTTCTTTGTAAGGGAAATGCTTCTGGATTAAATGGAAACAAGTGACCTCAACAATGGACCAATCTAATCCTTCATTATTTTATTTTTGTCTGTACTCACCGCCCCCCCCAATGGGGTTTACTGGAGAAGCTGGGCTTCTCACTGTAATCCACGTGCTTTCAGACTTGTGGTATTTTAAAACAATAAACCTCAACCTGTGTTTTGAGCTTCCCTCCTCTGACTCTGAGGAAAAGCGTCCACTGTCCAGAGAGAGCTTTAAGTCAAGCTGTGCAGAGATGCGGAGCTCAAACTGTGGGTGGAAATGAAAGGGCTTCATGCCCACACAACTGGGAGGACTGCAGTGCCAGTCTCGCGTTTATGGGTAGGAATCCCATTCCGATGTCTGCTGACACGGTTTTAAAGAACCCTTATTTAGGACCTTAGAGCCATGACCAACTAATTGATAGCTACTATCAATTGATCTATCATATAAAATCCCCCCACCACCACTACCAAACACCATCGGCATATCCAGCATTTAAGATGCAAAAAAAGGCCAGAATCCCTTTGTTAAGAGAGGGCTTTTCCCATCCACAGAGGTACTTTCTTTATAAGGTAGGTGTAAGAGAGTAATGAGAATTCAAGAGAAATTTCAACACACACATATTTTATAAAGGGGTTTCAACAAGTTCACTTTGAAGCTCCTGTGCGTGTGCATATACTTATATCAAGTTAATTTTTCACACAGTGATTCCACATGGCATAGAAAAAGCTTCCAGGTTTTGTTAGGCCAGAGTCTTTACCGGAGCAAAGTATCAGGCCTTTCTCCCACGGAGCTTCTGAGTGAGTTTAATATTCCAATATGGCAGGTACAACCAAGAACATAACCATAGCACCATCAGGGTGCCTTTGTATGTTTGCGTATGTAAGTATGTATGTATGTATTTTCAATGAGATTACTAGAACCACAAAAGCTGCAACTTGGGTACTCTTTTACCAACACAGACCTAAAAATTCAAATGTTAAATACTTCAAAACTCTAAGATAAAACTCTTAGCTACAACTCTGCTCTCTGTCAGCCACCTCCCTGATGGACTCTCCTTGCTCCAGCTCTCCTCTGGGCCATCAGCCCTACTTTCCAGAATCTTCTTGCAGGACTGCGATGGAAGCCAAGGCAATTCATTGTCTTTTGCCACTGCAGCCACTTCTTTCTCATACCAGGGGACTTTCTTCTTCTTTCAACTAGGTCCTTACTAGCCTTGGCCCTTTTGCTCCTAGGAAAAGAATGGTTAATACCCTTGCTAAGCACAAGACTGGAAGTTCAAGACCACCTGAAGGTGTCTGGGAAGAAAGATGTGGTGAAGTGAAGTTACTTGGCATGGCGAGTTTGCCCACTTCTTTCTAACTCCCACCAAATGACTGGGTGGGACCAGGCGAAAGAGGCAGATGAAACATGAATGGAGGGGACTGACTGGTTTGGCCATTCCACCGGGTCTATAGGAGGGAGCCATCTCAGAAGCAGGGGGAGAGCACTGTGTGGTCATGAAAACAGAAGGGCCACCAGAAGGTCATGTGTGAGATCCCTGTCTGCAGAGGCAGCAGAGGTCTCGGCACTGAGACCATGAGACAGAGCAGAGGAGCAACATCGAGATCATGAGGCAGAGTGGCAAGAGTCTCAGCCCACAGAACAAGGCAAAGGCCCAGGGACCACAAGGTTGAGAGGCCAAGGCCCGGACACATTTGCCAAAATAGTTGAAAAGAGGTACAGGTAACATTTGGAAACTATTAGCTTCCCTCATAAAGCCCATACTTGGGGGTATTGTCTGTGAGCCCTGTGCGGCCATTGTAATGAACTGAATTGAACCCAGAGCAAGAGGAGAGGTCTGTGAGAGGGAGGCTTGGTGTCGGAAGCGGGTATAGAAGGTGGAGACAAGTCTGATCTCTGCCTTGTAGCAACAGACTTGGGCTGCTGTGGAGTTGGCATCTCCTCCCTTGTGTTGCCAAAGGAAGTCAGAGGGGGCTCCCAGGCCATTTCCTCAAGAGGCCTGGCAATCTCCTTCCAACACAGAGGAGCTATGGAAAACCCTACGGAGTGCACTTCCGGTCTCACAGAGATGCAGTCACCACCTGAATTGAAACTGACTTCATGACAACTTGAATTCCTACCGCACCTGGGAGAAAATGCCAAGCCTTGCCACAGCTGCAGGTATCCTGCATGATCGGGTTTCTCATAATTTCTCAGCCTTCACTTGGACCCACCACTCTTTGGGTGGTAGTTAGGTAACCTGGTGTCAAGTTGAGGATTCAGAGTGAAGGGGTGGAGTCTAGCCTGTCAATCAGGTCATAGTTTGATGACTTCATTTGGAGGCACTAAGGAGATAAATTCCTCATTGGAAGCGCGAGACACACTCTCTCTTGGCTCACTCTCCAGGAAACATTGCAGCAGACAGATAGATGGATCTATGCTAGTGCCCTAAGCTGGAAGAACCACATAGAGACCCCTGCCAGTACTGAGATGCTTACACCGCCACTGGATCCACAAGGCTTCCCACCCACTGGCCTGTGATCTTCCTGCATTTGGCATCATTGCATGTGTTTTGTGAGTCTGAAGAGGATGTTATAGATTGATATCAGACATATGGGCTAATATTGGACTTAAGGACTTGATCTGGACTGGGCTGGGATGTTTTCTCAACATCCAGTTGTTCTTGTATATAAAGCTCTTTCTTATACATATATGAGTGTCTATGAATTTGTTTCTCAAGTCTACCTGGACTAACATTCTGCCTCAAATGCCTTCTGTATCGCAACTGCCAGCACGTCATTTGGCTTTTCTGTTCCATGGTCCCTGCATCGGGGAGGTCCTTCCTGACCAAGCCCTCTAAAAGCAGCTTCCATGGTCAATTCCACTTATCCCCTTATCTTCCTTCTTTATCTTTGTAATTAGGATTGATCACTACATTAAAGATAAGGAGCCTTGGGGTGCAATGGTTAGGTGATGAGCTGCTACCGAATAGGTCAGTTGTTTGAACCCGCCCAGAGGCTCCAGGGGAGAAAGGTCTGACCGTCTGCTCCTGCACAGACAAAAGTGGAGGACACATTAGGGGCCATTCTACTATGTGCTAAGGGGTTGCTGTGCACCTGAATTGACTCAATGGTCCACAACATCAGTGCACAGAAAGGCTGGAACCCTGGTGGCACATATGGTTAAGAGCCTTGCTACCGACTGCAAGATTGTTGTGCATACATACCCACCACTTGCTCTGCAGGGAGAAGACCAGGAGATGGGCTTCCAAAGGGACTCCAGCCAAGAAAACCCAAGGGGCGGCTCTGCTTTCTCAGGTGGGCTCACCTGGAGCCAGATTCAGCTCCACGCAGCCAGGAGCCTGGCAAGTGTCCTGGGCCATTTGCTTTCTGTGTTTCTCCCGAGAATGCAAGCTCTGGGAGTGCGCTTAAGGCTCTCGATAAAGAACTGTCCAACAACCAGATTCAAGAATGAAATCCTTAAAGGATTTATGATCTCACGAGGGAGGAAAAAAATCATATGTAACTAGTGTAAAACATGATTGCCACTGTCGTTTGAAATTCTGGCTTGCTTGCTAAAATACCATATATACTTGTGTATAAACCAAGTTTTTCAGCACATTTTCAATGCAGTTTTTGTGGCAAAATTAGGTGCCTCAGCTGAT